GTTTTAGTTTTTTCATTAGAAAGCTCCTTAGTGAGAAAATCAGGGTTTTGTACCAAGTTATCATGAGCAACACTAAGTTTCTCATGAGCCAATTTTAGCTCCTCATGTGAACAAGTAGTAACATAAAGTAGATGCTTTTGTTGTTCACACGTGTTCTTTAAAAAAGAGTTTTCATTTTTCAATTTCTCGGTTTTAGCCATCTCTTTTTCTAAAGCTTTGATCATGTAACCATATCTATCTAAAAGCTCCTCATATGAATCAAGATCAATCACATTTACATTAGATACCTTAGTGTCACCTTGTGACATGAAGCAATGTGATGTAGTTGGAGAGCTTGAAGAAACATCACTCTCATAGCCCGAGCATGATCCATCATTATCACCATCAAGTGTGCATGGGGTAGCATCATCATTTGCATCACTTGAGGCATCATCATCAACCTTGTCAAGTGAGCTTGTAGTAGATCGATCATCAACATCATCACTTGACCATGAGGTGCAACAATCTTCCACAATTACCAAATTGTGGTCATGCTCAACACACTCATGCGCCTCCTCCTTAGGCTCCTCCTTCTTGAACTTGCCATCATCCCACGTGGGGGAATCACCGAAGGTGTGCTTGATTGATTCCCATATCTCACGAGCGATTCCCACATAGTTTATCCATTTCATTAAATCAAAGCTCAAAGCATCCATTAGATAACAAAAAGCATGTGTATCAAGTTCATAGAGAACTCTTTGAGCTTTGGTGAGATTTCTATGGTCCAAGACATGGGTGAGACCACTAGTGACAATCCACCAAAACTTAGGTCCCTTTGCACGAAAATGATCAAGCATGTGATTTTTCCAAAGTACAAAGTTTGTGCCATAAAAAATATGTGTCTCATAAACATCTAGCCCACTAGACACCATCATCTCGGGTCGGTGAAGACCATAAATGAGAGACCTAGCTCCGATACCAATTGAAGGGTCAAGATGGAAGACTAGAGGGGGGGTGAATAGTCCTTTCTAAATTTAATCGCGTGGCTAACCGAAACAAATACAGAATTAAAACAATCGGTCTAGCCAAGACTACACCCCTCTATCAAAGTTTATAAGCACCTTATAAAGATCCTAATTAGGCAACAAAGGCGTCGGGCTAGCTAGAGCTCACCTATCCAATTCTAGGAGCAATGCCACACAAACCTATGCCACTAGTATTTTGCACACCGGGGAGATCCTACATAATTTTAGTAAGCAAAAGCATAAAACTCCTAAGTTCACTAGCAATGTTCAATAACAAGGCAACCAATGGCAAATTAGAGAGCGTAAATACTTAGCTACACAAACTAAGTAATGTGACCAACAAGGTTACACAAATCAAATTAGCCACGCAAGGGAGCCACTTCTATGCTACACAAGCAAGAAGGTAACTAGTAAGCTACACAAGCTAACTAATTACAAGAGCAACTACACAAGCACAATGTATATGAAAGTAATTACAAGCTTGTGTAAGGGGATTGCAAACCAACAGAAAAAATAATGTTGACACAGTGATTTTTCTCCCGAGGTTCACGTGCTTGCCAACACGCTACGTCCCCGTTGAGACAAGCTCTAAGGTTGCCACCGGTCCTCTTGCTAGTGGTGACCCATAAGTCACACTCTCCCTCATGGAGTGCTTACCACAAGCTCTAGCACTTGACCCCATCGGACCACTTGTCGCCCTTCGCGTCTCGCTCTACTAGAGTTGCTCTTCGTGGCTCCCGCGGGGCGAGCACAATGCCCCTCACAAACCTCTTCTTCAGAGCACCACACAAGCTTCTTGAGGGCTTCGACGGAGACCACCACCAAGCCATCTAGGAGGTGGCAACCTCCAAGAGTAACAAGCACCACCGGCTTACAACTCGATCACCTAGTGCCACTCGATGCAACCTCATGATGCAATCGCACTAGAATCGCTCACTCACTCGATCGGATGAACACTATCAAGCTCAAGTGAATTAGAGGGCTCACAAGCACTACCACATAAGCCACCAAGGCTCTAGTGTGCTCAGCAACCCGCCCAAGGCCGGCTAATGCTTGGTTTTATAGCCCCTAAGAAAATAGAGCCGTTGTACCCCTTCACTAGGCACTTTTCAGGGCGACCAGACGTGTAGGTCCAAGTGACCGGACGCGCCGGTCCCTACGTCCGGTTGCTGTACTGCCTCCACGTGGCACTAGCCGTTTGAAATAGCCATTGCCGCCATCGACTACCTCGTGCGCGCGCCTTCATCCATCAATCGAACGCGCTACTTAGCTTGACCGGACTCACCACACCTCAGCGTCCGGTCAACAACAGAGAGCTCCTAGAGCCTCCAAAACACGACCGAACGTGTTAGGTGAGTCACGATCAGACGCGACACCTGAGTCATGTCCTTCACCACCTGCCACGTGTCAGAGCTATGCCCGCGCCATTGCGTCAGCGTACGTCAGAGATGACCGGATGCGGCTCCTGCGCGTCAGGTCACTCTTCGAGCCAGCGTTCGGTCACAACACCGAGACCACGCGCTCTCTGCTGCCACTTGACCGAACGCACTGGTCCTGCTGAGGTTAGGGTCTGGTCACTCACAGTGACACCTTCTTCCCTCTGTTTCTTCATCGAGTTGATCCACATCAACTCTAACTTCTTCTCCTTTGCAAATGTGCCAACACCACCAAATGTACACCATCATGTGTATGTGTGTTAGCTTTTCACAAATATTTTTAAGGAGTTAGCCCTTCAACTTGCCACACCACTCGATCCTAGCAATGATGCAAAGTTAGATCACTCGAGTGGCACTAGATGACCGATATGCAAACAAGTTTGCCCCTCTTGATAGTACGACCATCTATCCTAAACCCGATCATCAACTTCTCTACACATCTATGACCGATGAAATAAAATGCCCTAGGTTATACCTTTACCTTGCTCATTCCATTCCATCTCCTCCAATGTCGATGCAACACATGCACCAACATGATCAACAATGATATGATCCACTTCATATCATCACGTGATCATATTGGTTCATCGATCTTGACTTCACTGCTCTTCACCGTTGCCTTGGTCCATCGGCGCCAAGTCATCACTCAACTTGCCCTTCACACTTACAATTGGTCCGTCGAGCCAAGTCATGTCTTGATCTTCTCCACCTTGATCACATGACTCAATGTCATGTCTCATACTGATACGAGGGGCCTTGTTTGGATTCGAATATTGATATGTTGCATTAAATACAGTTTTAGAATCCATAGATACGTAAACCATAGTTTAGAAAAAAAGGGTGTCTAGGGTGGGGTTTCTAAAACAAAAAAACCTACAAATTTAGCATGCTATGGTTTTCACTTTTCAAGTTGCGTCCAAATACTACCACTTGGAAATCAAGGTATTTTATAAAACCATCATATTTTTATGTAAAACTCTAAGGGTGTGTTTGGTTGAGCTGTGGCTGTGGAAAAAAGCTGTTGTGGGCTGTGAGCTGTGGGAAAGATGATGTGGGTTGTGAGCTGTAGAAAAGTTGAAAGCTGTTTGGTTAAACAAGTATAAAATATATCTTCTATCTTTATCTCTCTTGAAACAACTATGGAAGAGCTTTTTATTCCACCAATTTCAAAAAGTAGAAAGTCAAAAGGCAAAAGCAGGGTCAAACCAGCTTTCAAAAATGTACTACGGAAAAACAGCTGCTTCTAAAAAAGCAGCCTCCAAAAGCATCCCCTTTGGTTGGGCTTTTGGCTTTTGGGACCAAAAGCCAAAGCCAAAAGCCCAACCAAACGGACCCTAAAAATAGTGGAGTAAAGTTATCTTTTTTTATTTGCTGAAGCGCCCCTTCTTGTCCGGAATGTGACCCGGACTCATGATCTGTCCTCGTACAAGTTATAACATTGACCCATCCTCGTATGAGTTCAAACAACGCGTGTCCAACGATGATGTCTGATTTCAAGACATGTCTTGAGATGGTGGTCTGATTCCAAAATGTATTGGATAGATGACGCAGCCGTTAAATAAATCTCCGAGAAACAAATCATCTAGATGACCGCGCAAAAAGCTATATGTTCTGTTGCAATGCACAAACACGTTTGCTAGTATAAGAAAAAGAGAGACCACATAACATGTGGGGTCCACTGTCACATCAGCAAAAGCACTCAAGAAACCACTTTAAAATGGTCAAGATAATATTTTGTCTCGTTTTAATAGTTACTAGTAAATATGCCCGTGCATTGCTACGGTTTTTTTTAAAGTTTGATATTTTTTTCTTACCTTTGATTTTTTTAATTATTAGACGGATCCTTTTTTGCTTCTTTTACTTGCAATTTTTTTGTGGATTTTAGCGTTTCTTTTATTTTGTTAATTGATTTTTTTACATTTTTTTGAAGTTTGTTGACATTGTTTGTTTGTTTGAGATTTTTTTTATGATGAAGAAATTGGAGTTTTTAGAAAAGTCTCTTGTGCTTTGTGCGATTTATTGCAAATCTGACACTTTAGTCTTACAAATACAATGACAGATAGAATGTCCAGAGTTTTAGGAATTAAGGCTTGCATGTCGCACTGCAAACATATACGACTATAATCCATAGTTCAAGAACTACATCAGTGTCGGTCTCTAATTTCTGCTGTCAGGACTACAGGAGGAGCATATGCTGAACCGTCAACCAGCCAATAATAACCTCAGTTTTAATTTATATTGAAGGAAAGGATAGCAAATTAGTCATTATTCTTTTAAAACAAAATGAAATGTGCCAAGAGGCCATAACTCGTGGCTGGAGTGTGGTAGTTATGCAATAGTTTTACTCCAAGATGAAAATGAACAACCGATTACTTGTCAAAAAAAAAAGAACAACCAATCAAAGCTGAAGAGTTTAACACACATGATAATGAATTCATCTAAGTATTTGTTGACTAAACATAATGATTATTACAAGGAATTCATACTATAAAACTAACTTTAGTTCTTTCTAATACATCTAAGGAATTCTAGGACACCAGCAGGCATGTTGTCTTCACATTCATTCTCCTTGTATGTCAGGAGTTGAAAGTTGTTTTCTGAGTTCATATCCATCCTGTACAATCAATATTGTGAGTAAACGAATCAATATTGTGAGTGTAAGTATAGAGATATATGTGTAAAAAAATAATGGATTGAATTTACGATATGTACCATTAGAAATGGCAAGTTTATTTCTTCGCCTTTCCATATGCTGACATGAAGATTGAAACAATATAACCCGACAGTTCCCTGATATATATATATATATATATATATATATATATATATATATATATATATATCTCAACATAAATGTTACCTTTTGTAAATTGGAATATCATGTAATATTATTTGACGCCATAGAAAAACATTTTCATTCCATCTAGACCCAGGCATACATTAGACATGGCTTTTGGTAAGTACTCTGCAATCCATAAAAGTTTCTTCACGTATCTTGCATTTGGGTTGTATTGGTAGATGGGATCAAGAGGTGGAGGGTCCAAATTGTAGATAGTTCTGATATCTTTGTTCAATATGAATAGATGAAACCACCATGGAGTTGTATTGGAATAAGAATCTGAAATAGGCTAGAAATTAGTTATGTAACAAAAATAATTGTGCTGATAGGTATATGAGAGTGCTCTTACCAATTTGCATGATGCAACACTATAGTTAATACCAGGCCAACAACGAACGGAATCTACTGGTCGTTCCACATCTAATTTTTTACGGAAGTTTGGGTATCGTCCAAAATCCGTAATCATCTAGGATACATATAAAATAAGTGTTTATAAAGGTGATAAAAAGAATCAGTGTATATATATAGTGAATATAAGAACATACCCAAAATTGCAAGTCTAGATAATGCTTTGATATCATTCCTCTCTGATTCTTCACCATTTGGATCTCGTCGAACATATTTTTTCGTACGACCAAATTGAAAGTATCTATGTCCATGGGGATATCATCGTTTATAATTTCTTGCAGTTTCTTGAGAGTCAAGCTAATGGAATATGGTTTGGAGTTTTGCACCCAGACTTTCCTATCAAACATAATGAAAATAAGACAATGCATGCTGTCAGGACAATTCAATTACAAAAGATGAATTAATAATCTGAAATGGCGCTTACTGCAAGGTTTGTGGACAATTAATTGATTTGATGTAGTCACAAAGGCCACCTACTAACTCACGTATACCCATCTTAGAAAGAATATAGATTAGTGAGTAGTATTTATTTTCAAGGGCACAATGCTTTTGATTTCTTTTCAACATCTGGACTTTCCAATATTATAACATCATCAGGATTTGCCTCATTGTCAAAATTTTCTTGGAAGTTTGTCACCAGTGCCGCTGTGTTTGATTTCCAGCATAACAATATACCGGCTAATTTGTACCTAAAAAGATTAATATTTTCCTGTATGGTACAAATATATATCAGTACATATATAGAAAAAATAAACATGATTTAATTATATGTCTATCATCAAATATAAGAGATATATACCTGTGTAATTGGATGAGATAGTGTATCTCCAGTCCAGTATTCCATGAATTTGAGCACAAAGAGGCCGCAAGATGAATTGAATAGTTAAAATAAAATTTAGCAGTGAACATAAATAAACCACAAAATGACTTGGAAATATGTGTTTTTTATATACCTGTCTTTCTGAATTGGTTCTTGTAGTTGTTCTCTGAGCTTCCATTTAGTAACATGAAGATCTTTCCAATTATGGTTAATAAAGTTTTGCTGACTTTGAAGAATGTCCAAATGGTATTGTAGTCCCTGTAGATGTATAAATAATCAGATGATCAGAAATCGTCCTAAACACAATGAACGGATTAATTTAATAAAAAATTTATAGAGGTATTGGAGATATAGAAACAAACCATAATAGTGAGGTCAGCACGGTTGAATTCCCAACACAATGAATCGAGTACTTGTATCTCAGACTTCCTTGCGTTCAAAACAGCTATATATATACCAATGTGTGTCTTTGATATTTATTGGCAGAAAAATCTAAAATAAAGTTAATAGATATTAGTTGTAGACGTATAAAATTAGGAACTAAGAATCTACTAATCATAGTAATTGACAATGGAGAGATAGATGTTACCATTTCATGCTCAAGATAGTTTCTAACAATCTCCGTAATAAAAGTGCCATCTTCATGTACACCAATGTTGCCATCCCTTTTAAACAGTCTAGTAATAAAGGGTTTCTCAAAATATATCTTAGCATCATCCATATTTTGCAGATGTACTTGATCCCTTATACAACATATATAAGCACAGATCACCTACAAATACATTAAAATAAATTTTAATAATGAGAAAAAAATTGCCTAATCATTAGGTGTACTTACATCATCGTCTAACCATTTGCTTTGGTCTATGAGGCATAATAATTGATGTTGTTTCACAGATATTTCATCAATATTCACCAGTAAATCGTCTTCTGAAGATGTTTCTATTATTATTTGAGCACATAAGTCCATATTGGTCAATGTATAATCTGCATATAATTCAATATGGATTAGCTTTATATCCTCGGTACTATAATCAAAAGACTACAGATATAAATGAAAAAAAATACCTTGTGGGAGATAGTCATACGTATTGTTGACACTAGATATGGCAAACAGATAAATCCGTAGGCGCACGGATGTCAATGTAGCTTTCACCCGGGAGTATTCCAAGGTATCGAATTTTCACGGGGAACGCGAAGTGGACTAGTGTAAGAACTAAGTTGTCCAAGGGTAAAAATAATGATAGGTAGAGAGGATCTCTGTGGGTTCTGATATACTAAGGCAAGACTAAGGAATGTTATATCAAGGTAGTTTACTTTGGGGCTTACCTGTCCTAACCTCACCCAAAGGGTTAATTAGGCACAAAGCACAACGGGCCCTACGATTTAATAACTAGAACCAACGTGGTGGAATACAGAGGATGGACAGGGCTGTCATCACCTGCCACCAACCACAGTCTATCCGAGGATCTAGTCGTAAACACAGGCAAGCTATAGCCTAAGTACCATGCTTAATCCATAGACTCACTACTCCAATCTAGGCATCAAGATCGGAGCACTCTAACCAAGCGGTGAAACTTGTAAACAACAGTAATATAAACAACACTTAAGTAAGGCAAAAGAACAGAGTTACCACATAGAAGATGCCCGACTTCACTCGAAGAAGAGCTTCATCCGCCGAGGCACAAGTGGAGAGGATGCCGACAACCCTGTCTCCTCCCCAAACTTCTCCTCACTCTCTCCTTATCTTCTACTTCTAAGTGGAGTAGCTACAGAGCTTCGCCTTGTGACTATTCTACTAGATATGAATGAGATTGGATGATTACAAATGGAGCTCTACACCACTATTTATAGCCTCCCAAGGTCGGTTCTTGGAGGGGGGGTACTTGTAGAGAGCTGAGGAGGTTGGTTGGTAGGTCGGTGGCGTCAACCGACCTACTTGGGCGTCGGCCGACGCTTGGATGCACCGACTTGGTGCATCTACGGCTGGTGGAGCTCCCTGGAGTCAGTTGGAGTGGTCCTAAGTCGATTTGGGAGGTCCCACATGTCAGCCGATGTGGGTTACGGTCGCCCGACGCCCTGGCCCTGCCACGTCTGCCATCAATCTTGAGTCGGTTCGGTGCTCCACAATCCACATTTGCTTGGGTACAAAGTTTGATTAGGTTTGGAGTTCGTTTCCTTTGGTTTGTGGACCCAAGGATCCATGGGAGAGGCCACATGGACACCGTCTCCACCCTTGAAGTGAACCGTCATTGAGTCGATGCTTGAGATGCTTCCGAAGTGTGTTTCGTGCTGGTGGAGAGGATCGATGACGTGGACGAAACCGGTTTGAGCCGCCTAGCCTTGAGGAGGCATCACCCGGCCTTCCATTTGGTCCATTGGGTTGAGTGAGGCTTCCCTTGGGTTCTCCATTGAGTGTAGAGGCTTTAGGAAAAGTTTGGTGGCCTTTGGACACTTGTCCCCATCGCCCGACGCCTAGAGGGGTCGCCCGACGTTCATCTCTACCCAAACTCTGCCTGGCCCGTCTTGCAATCTTCCGGAAGGCATAACTTTGTCATCCGGACTCCGAATTGGGTGAACCAAAACTCAATTTCGTGTATATCGATGAGCTCTTCGACATGGTGCAGTCAAAATGGGCATTTGATGAAGTGTTTTTGCATGCATATTGCCACCTTTGTTCCTATACTCACATAGTCATCACAACTTGTGGAAATGGTTAGAAATAAACCCTGTGACTATGGTTTATGCCATTTATATCACCAATTTAGGCATAGTTGATGGTCTTTAATGAGGTGTTTATGACCATCAACACATATCACCAACATTGTTCTGTTTATGTTCTTTTGGTTGTCGTTCAATGGAAGATTTTCAACTCTCATCTGCTTATCTATCAATTCAGAATCTGAAGATAATGTCTCTATGGTTGGCGATGCAGTTGAAGGCATTGGATCAACAATAATCTTTTCATCTGAGAGTTTTCCTTCACTCATCTGCTTATCTATCAATTCAGAAGCCAAAGAGAATGTCTCTTTGGTTGGTGATGCAGTTGTCTTTTCTTCATCTGGAAGTTTTTCTTCACTCATCTCCTTATATATCAATTCAGAAACCGAAGAGAATGTCTCTCTGGTTGGCGATGCAGTTGAATGCATTGGATCAACATTTTTCAATTTATCCAATTCCAACAGATAAAATTCAGAACATTTTGCTTTCTTTAAGGGTCGAACATCAAAATTGTCAGCAGTGCTTGATCCAACGTTATGATCCATTTTTTTTTGTAAAAACAGCAAAAAAATTTAATCAACCAACATAACTCAATTGCACTACCATAGATCCACGCAACATAAATCAAATAGTAAAATGACAGCTCTATCACAAAATACAAAAATGGGATGGCATATATTCAACAACTGAAAAAATTAAAAATTCTCTTTAAAAGTGTCAGGACAAGCATCAGCTACTTAGCATATTTCTAGTGCATAAGAATGATGGCTATTCTTAAAAAGGGTCAAGACAAGCATTATCTACAGAGGATATTTCTAGGTGCATAACAAAGATGGCTTTTATGTGCATTCTTAAAAAAATGCTACTCAACATGTTGTATGTTAACAAACTTGTACCGTGAGAGCCCGGGTTAGTTTAGAGGATCTGTTGTTATCTTTATGTTGTTGCATATCTTGTATAGGTTGTTAGTTGTGTTGTAGTTATCCTCAGATCTCAACAAACCTGAGCTCATCTTGTAAGCCACGCAGGGGGCAATTCCTTGCCTATATAACAAAGGTGCGGCCTCCTACGGGAGGTTCAACGCTTCCTATTTTCTTTACATGGTATCAGAGCCATCCTCTAAACAAAACCCATCCAACAAAGATGTCGACTTCCAATGGCGCCGCCCTTCCATCCACCTTCGGTCACCCTGTGACTGAAAAACTCTCTCGATCCAACTACGCCCTCTGGAAGCTCCAAGTGCTCCCGGCCATTCATGGGGCGCAGCTGGTTGACTACATCACCGGTGCCTCCAAGGCTCCGTCCAAGGAGATCAGTGGCAGTGGAGATGGAAAGCAGCAGGTGCCGAACCCGGCATACTCGGCTTGGCTGGCTCTTGACCAACAAGTCTTCATCTACCTCGTCGCCTCCCTCTCGCGCGCTGTTCTCAAACAGGTCTCCACCTGTAGCACCATTGCGGATCTATGGACGACAATAGAGACGTTGTTTGCATCTCAGACCCAAGCGCGTGCAGTGAACACTCGCATCGCGCTTGCAACTATGAAGAAGGGAGCCATGTTTGTCGAGGAATACATTGGCAAGATGCGTGCCCTCGCCGATGAAATGGCAGCAGTGGGCAAACCCATCGACGATGAGGAACTTGTTGCCTACATCTGCACTGGCCTCGACCTTGAGTACAACCCCGTCGTCATGTCTGTTCTGGCTCGTGTTGAGCCGATCACCATCACTGAGCTCTCCACGCAACTATAGTCCTTTGAGCAACGGATGGATCTACTCCACGGCGGCTCCTCCTCCTCGTCTGCGAACGTTGCTGCTCGCGGTCGTGGTGGCGGTCACCGTAATCGTGGTCACGGAAATCGTGGCCGCGGTAGCGGCAATAGCGGGCGCGGGCGTGGAAACTTCAACAACTCCGGCAAGCAAAAGGTCAAGTGCCAGCTTTGCAAGAAGGAGGGACACAGCGTCGTGGACTGCTGGTACTGTTTCGATGAGACCTTCGTTGTCCCTGAGGACAAGAGTGCCAACGTCGCCAGCCATGGTGGATATGGGGTGGACTCCAACTGGTACACTGATACCGGGGCCACCGACCATATTACTGGAGAACTTGACAAGCTGATGATTCATGATCGCTACACAGGAGGGGAACAGATACACACAGCCAGCGGCTCAGGTATGGATATAGCACATGTTGGTTGTGTTATTTGTCACACTCCTGAACGAAATCTTCTTAATAATGTTCTTCATGTTCCAAACACCACAAAAAATCTTGTTTCTGTCCATAAATTGGCATCCGATAATAATGCTTATTTCGAATTTCATCCACGTCTTTTCTTTATTAAGGACCGAGCAACGAGGAGAACCCTTCTGGAAGGAACATGTAGAGGGGGTCTATATCCTCTACCAGCTGCCGCCCTTAAGAATAAACAAGCCCTCAGCACATCCAGTGGTGCTCATCCCTCCTTGGAAAGATGGCATCATCGCCTAGGCCATCCCTCATTTCAAGTCGTTCAGCAGGTTGTGAAAAGGAACAAATTGCCATGTTCCTTCGAGTCCAGGATAGGTTCAGTTTGTGATTCATGTCAAATGGCCAAGAGCCATCAGTTGCCATATCAAAAGTCGTCAAGTCAGTCTAGTTTTCCTTTACAATTAGTGTTTTCAGATGTATGGGGGCCAGCTTGTGATTCCTTTGGACGAAATAAATTTTATGTTAGCTTTATTGACGACTACAGCAAGTTCACCTGGATCTATCTTCTCAAACACAAATCTGAAGTGTTTCAACATTTTCACGAATTCCAACAACTAGTTGAAAGACAATTTGATAAAAAAAATTCTTGCTCTTCAATCGGATTGGGGAGGAGAGTATGAGAAGTTGAATTCCTTCTTCTCAAAAATTGGCATAACCCATCTTGTATCATGTCCTCATGCCCACCAACAAAATGGAGCGGCCAAAAGGAAACACAGACATATAGTTGAAGTAGGGTTATCCCTCTTGGCCCAATCATCTATGCCTTTAAAATATTAGGACCAAGCCTTTCTAGCCGCTACTTATCTCATCAACAGAACTCCTAGTAGAGTCATTGATCTTCAAACACCTCTTGAACGGCTTTTCAAGATGCAAGCCAATTATGGTTCCCTCAGAATCTTTGGGTGTGCATGTTGGCCAAACTTAAGACCCTACAACTCTCACAAACTCTCCTTCCGCTCAAAACAATGTGTCTTCTTAGGCTATAGTAATCTTCATAAGGGATTGTG